CCCTTATGTCAAACTACTGACCTAGATAGAAGCCTTATTAAATGGAATTTTTAATAACTTTTTATCTATATAAATTGTAATTTTTTTAGAGATGATGTATTTGATATTTTTAAATTTTATTTTTAATTTGAAATAAATTAAAGAATAAATTAGCATTAAACTAGAATATATTAAATTATATTCTTACTATTCTTTTAAACAAATAAAACTGATGATATTGATGAATAAATTTTTAATAATAGTGTTGATTCCCATCCATACCTTTCAAATATTTCAAATAAATAAATTTAAAATATAGGTTTGTTGGCCATCATAATTTTATTTGTGAATTTGATTTATTACTTCTAAAGTATTTGATTAATCTATCAATAATTGAATTATATTCAATTAGCGAGAATTTTATAATAATCGCTAAAGAATTAAATGATTTGAAGTTATTAAAAATTCAAATTTAAAAAAATGGCATAAAATCTAATATTTATCAAAAATATTTATTAAAATCCATCAAATTTTCACAAAAAATTTTTATGCTTGATAAATTTACTTTTTTTAAGTAATAAATAATTTTAAAAATTAATATAGGGAAAAAAAATGTCAAAAGAGTCTTCGATAGAGTTATTTCTATTGTTAATAATGATAGAAATTCGATCTGAGAAAGTATCAAATAGGAATCAAGGGTTCTAATTAAATATTACATAATAAAGATTAAAAGGCAATTTAATTATTGGATTGCTAAAGAATTTGGATAAGTCTTGAAATATGAGGAGAGATAGTCAGATGTTCAATGGTTAGTCCTATATGTTTAAGATTCATTACCTATTGAGAAACTTTTATATTTCAATAGAAGACTTATAGTTCATTTAAAACTCATGATTAGAATACTTAAACGAAATGTATCCCTTGTTTAATAACTTACCAGTATTATTCAAATATAAATAAAATAAATTGTTTTTTATATATTCAAGATACAATTTATACATATATACCTTTTAAATTATAATAGTAAAGGAAAGTATTTTAACATATGGATAAACATGAATTAAAATAATTGTATAGAATTGTAAAATTTAAATCAATAATTAATTGAATATTATGGCAGCCTATAAATATTGAAAAAAAAGTAGTAATAATCACTTAAAGTTTGAGGATTGCAGTTATAAATTATTAAGTAATTAGATATAGTTATTAGTTAAATAATCTTCAGGGTTGACCAACAAAAATAAGATTCTAACTCAAAGAACAAAAGAATTAATAAAATTATATTATTTAAATATGAAAGCAATAAAGAACAATGATTTCTCAAATAATTATGCTTGAGTATATTATTTACTAATATAATTTGTATATAGAGCGTTGATTAGATTAAATTGATAATATATGCTGTTTAATAATTTAATGTATTTAATTAAATATTTTTCCGTCTCATTTTATTATTTACAATATTTAAAATGGAGATTTTTACATGTAAATACGAAAATAATGAAAATGAGGCGATAATAGAATTTTGTGTTAATTAAACATGTTAGAAATCGAGCTAATATTGTTACAAATGCTTAATGACAATGCATTCAGATCATCATGATGATTGTATCAGATTTAAAAACCTTACTGATTTAATAAATGAATATATTTCATTTTAAGGTTAGATTATATAACAATCAAATGAAATATCAATCAAATAAGCAATTAGATTTATTCAAAGATCAAAAGAATGGAAGACAATATTTCCACTTTAAAAAATTTGAATTAATTATTAATAACCTAAGAATAGTTAAAATTCAAATAATCAATGAATATTATCAAATAATACTATTCATTAGAATAATAAAAATAAGAAGGTTAAACTTTGATTTATTTATTTTAGAGTTATTTATAAATTAATTAAATGAATTCTAAAAAATTATTAAATAAAATGGAAAAGAGAATCAATAGGAAATGGAAAAAAATTTTGAAG